GGTAATAATAATAAACTTTATTTAAACAGCACTTAATCCAGGGTGCTTTACGTGGGTGGAGCCAGGATTTAAAGCATTTCTGGAAGTACAAAATTCAGTGGTGGTAAAAATGTCCATATTCTGTGGTATTCTGTCTCCACGTGGACATGGCTCCGCTGTTAGCTAGGTAGCTGACTAATCTTCACTCTGTGTCGCTGAAAGCTGAAGATTGATTGAACGGGTAAATGTGATATTATTGGTTGATCAGTTTTGTTGTACAGGAAGGTTTCTGATATAAAAATACAAAGAACGTTTGTGTGAATGTTCAACAGGGCAACAATATAACTGAGGATGTGATCTTAAAGGGTTAAAATGACAGCTTTTCACCTGGACTTAAATTTTTTGCTGTTTTGTGAAGAGACAGAAAACTGAGCGTTCCACAGAAACACTGACGGGCTGATTGAAACGGGACGAACTCGAGGAACCGGCAGAAAACAGGAGTGATGTGACTGACAGGGAGGAAGGGGATGAGCGGAAGGTAAAAGTGCAGACTCGGCAGCAGGTTTTTTCCAGACACCTGTCTAGTATTTCATTTGAAGGATGTGTCCCCCCTCCCTCCCCACCCAGCAGGCCACACACTGACTGACAGACAGCAGCTCACATCCAGAAAACCTTCCTGTTGCTCCGCTCTTTGCTAATATTTAAAAGAACTGGAGGCGTACGTGATCTGATTCTGACAGAGTAATTATTCCCCAAACTGTAATGTCAGAAAATGAAAACGCTATTGTGCAGGAACATATTACATTTCTCCCCCTAAAGACTCTCTGGAACAAATCTGAGCAGCTGGCGTAGCTCACATGTTCCTGAGGAGTTCAAGAGAAATTAAGAAAAACGTTTTAACCATTAAGTCGAATAAATCTGATGAGACTTTTCCACACCAATACTCGACAAGACAAATTATTTTAATTATTTTTCATTCTCAGTGGTCTTTAATCAGTGATCACTAATCAATATTTTTATATTAAAGATCCACTATGCAACACTGAGGAGAATCTATTGTCAGAAATGGAATA